AAAAAAAAAAAAAGAAATGATCTGAGCCGAAAGCAGATGCTTAACCATCTGAGCCACCCAGGCGCCCTATGTGTACAATGTTAATCTGTGTTTCTTTCTTTATGTATTGTGTTTGATTTTTATTTCTTACATTTCTTTGGATATTTTCTTAATGCTCCTAGTCCCTGCTTTCTTATTTAACCTTCTATTCTCTGGTTTGTCTGTTTTTAATGGTATATTTTACTCTTCCATCATTTCAATTATCAATGAGTTTATTCTGCTTTCTTCTTTCCCTTTCCATTTCTTAAACATATTTTTAATTGCATTATTTTCTACACTGTCAGCACTTCTAACGTTTATGTTATTCTTCCACCCTTCTCCTCACCTTTGCTATAGTCTTCAATTAAATATATTAAATGCTTACTGTAAATCTCTTCCTGAAGTTTTCTCAGTCAGCTCTTGGTTGGGTGAAAGTTATTGCCTTGTAGATTCTTTGAGAAGGTTCATGAATACAGTATTCCTGGAGATCCTGCATATTTCCAACTGTATCTGTCTATAACTTTGCGACTTGAAGGACATCTTGGTTGAGTGTAAAATCCTGGCTTTCACTTTCTTCTCTTGAATTTCTTCAAAAGGCTGCTATATTTTTATGTTGCATGGTGTGTTCTCTTGACAAATTTGTTGTCACTCTCATTCTCCTACACTTCAGTTTAGTCTTTATGCCTGCAGGCTACGAGAGTATTTTCTTTGATAGTTTTATTCAAATACATCTTTGAGTTGATTGTTCTGATTCAGTTTTCCCAACTACTGATGGGCCTTTTCAATATGTATACTCCGATCTTATTTTGTTGCCAGAAAAATTTCATAGTTTATAGTTTAAACTATTGGTTCTGTTCCACTGTTTTGTTTTCTTCAGAGACTCTAGTTGGGTCTCTGAACATGTTGGGTCTTCTTTGCCTGTCTTCCATTTCAACCACTTTCTCTCTAAACTCTCCTACTTTTTTTCTCATTTTTATTCTCTTAATTGTTGTTCTGCCTTTTTAAAATTCTACTTATTAAATTTTCATTGGCATCTTGTGTTTTTTTAGCCTTTATCTGTGAAATGATTTTGTCTTTTTCTTTTGTTTCTTTCCTGAGTTCAATCAACTGTCTTTTTTTCTTCCTTCCTTCCTTCCTTTCTTCCTTTCTTCCTTCCTTCCTTCCTTCCTTCCCTCCCTCCCTTCCTTCCTTCTTCCTTTTCACTTCTATTCTTATTTGAATTTCTGATTCAAAATGGCTTTTCATGGGGTACCTGGGTGGCTCAGTCAGTTAAGCTCTGCCTTCAGCTCAGGTCATAATCCTGGGGTCCTGTGATTGAGCCCCAGGGAGCCTGCTTCCTCTCCCCCTGCTCCCCACCCCACTCATGCTTTCTCTTCCTATCTCTCTCTCTCAAATAAATAAAATCTTTTTTAAAAAGTGCTTTTCATATCTCCAGATGAATGTTAGAAGATATTTAAATTAGTTTGGAGTGTTGTGTTAGTTTTCTTCTGCTTCACTGTTAGGGGTTTTTTGTTTTTGTTTTTTTTGGCATGATTTTCATCAGCGAAAATGTCCAATTCTCATTTCTATTTTCTTCCAATAATAGGTTTGTATGGAGACTGCTTTTCTCTATTTTATTTCCTGGGCAGGTTTTGTCTTGTAATAATTGACAGTAATCCTAGCTCAAGAGAGTTCTTTTCTGTCACTGTACCAAAGTTCAGTTTCTTTAATGAGTAGCACTTTTTTTTTTTTTAATTAGTGGTGAAGAGATTTGCATGTCCTTCAGTTTTGGGGTTCTCTTTTGTCTTGCAGGGGCACAAGTTTATCCTTCTTGCTTCTTTTTCCCTTCACTATCCAGTCTCTGATAGAGATTGATAAGCCTCTCCCTTCCCTCTTGTCCAAGAGTAGTGTCACACTGACTGATACCCCCTCAGTATCCATGACTTTTACGTCCCTTCCCTGGGGCAAATACTCTGATCTACCAGGACACACTTAATATTTTTGCACTTGTGATGTATTTTCTCTTCAGGGGATGGAGGGGGGACGATTTTAAGTCTATCTTAGGCTCTTCATTTCCTCTTCTCTCTTCACAGTTTTTCCAGATCCCACCCCATTCCTGTATTTGCTCTCTGCAAAGGCTTATAGTGGGACCTTAAGAGATATCTCTTCCAGAATTTGGAGTTTACTTTTCTACTTAAGTTTGTAAATTCCTCTGTCTTCCTGTTATTTTGGAAGCATTACATTTATGTGGTTTTATTGTTCTGGTTGATTTCTACAGCTTCGAGAAAGCTATGTGAGGAGATTTGATTTAGATAGCCACCATTATCCTCAGCTATCTCAAAGTTCTCCACCATATACGTCTTCACAAGCCATTTAGGTGTAATGTGGAGCAGGTTTGAGAACTTTGGGTAGGGGTAGAGGATAGGAAAGAAGGCATTTAATTTAAAACAAACTGATTTCGAGATGATTCTATTTGTGTAGAGATAGTCATCAAACATAGTTGGTCTGTACCTCAGGTAAGATATTAGGAATTACTGCTTCTTACTCTGGTAGAGTAAGAATTCCTAGTAAGCTGGAATTAGAGCCATAAATCCCTTTGAGGAATTTCTGCCTTGGTCTAACTCCTGCCTGCATGCTCAGACTCATCTTCCATGAACATGTAAAGGCTTTAGAAAACAGATACTATTGAGAGGTTACCAGATAAAGTACTATTTTCTGGTGCTTTATTTTATCATATTCAGAAGTTTGGTTGATGTGACTGAGAGGTCTAAATATTAGTCTGAGAACTCAATCACTATTAAACCATTTGGGGAAAAAAAAAAGAAAATCATAGATCAATAGATCAAATCATCTACCTAGAGGGAAATAAAATAATACTGACTTAAATACCATAATTAAGCTTTTTGGCATATTTGTAGTTTATTCCAGTAACCATAGGGCTTATCAAGCAGGTTAAATTCATAAATCCACAAAGATTTATACCAATAACTTTCTAAAGCAAATTCCTAGTATCTACTGTTTTCTTCCGTATCACCTATAACTAGGCTAAAGAACAAATGTATGCATGTTTGTATCTAAACACATTTAAGATAATAATATCTATGTAACAATTCAGTATAACTAATAGAGTTTTCAGAACATGATCTGTGATGAATTTTCCATGTTTTTAAAGTGTTTTTGCTTCCATTTTCTCCCTTTCATAAGAGAATAAATCTCCAAAAAAATATATGTAGCATTGTAGAATAGTTTAGTAATAGTCATTTACCCAGGTAAACACTTTTCCCAGTTGTGTATTTCTATGGTGGCAAGAAAGTGTAGATGATTTCTTTCTCCATTGAGACAATCTGTGGATGGAAGAGATGTTAGTGAAGTAAAAAAAAAAAAAAAAGAAAAGAAGGGTACTCATTTGAAACATGAGAAATTTATAAAGTGGTCAACTCTTTCACTTGACATTTTATTATTACTAAGGCCTGGATTTTCATTCTTTTGAATTAACTGAGAGGCAGTATAGCGTAGTGATTCAAATTGTGATCTCTGGAACCTGACTGCCTGGGTTCTAACTCCATACTAGCTTCATTTTGTCTCGGTTTTATCATCCACGTAATTGGATAAAAATAGCACTTCATAAAATGGTTGTACACATAAGATGTGATTTTCATAGGACAATGTTACTTAAGTGCTAACTATTATCACTATTAGATTATATTAAGATTCTGCTGGATAAAGTGGGGTGGGATTTTTGAGACTTATTCGAATTTTTATATTTTTAATTCCTAGACTGATTTATTTAATAATGTTGGCCTTATTTGTTATTTAATATGCAATTCCAATCACTATGAAATTCACAAGTGGGTGAGGCAGGACAGAAAAATTAAATATTTCCATGGAAATGAAGATAAAAGAAAGCATTCATGAAAAATTAGAGAGACCTGTCTTCTTTTTTGTGCTTTTTATTTTCTTTGGGAGCTAAGAATTTAAGGATCTGTTCCTTCATACATACAAAAGCTAAGAGCAATAAATGGTGTGCCAGAAAGATGTCACTGTTTGTAATGGCAGCTTTATTCCACAGTCCACATCTACTCTTTCTTCTCTCCACCAGGTGGAAGTATAGCACTTTGTACGTGTCTTGTTCTCACTTCTTCCTAGTTCCCTTAGTCCAAGGGGTGAAGAGGGAAAAGATAAATACTGAATGCAAGAGTATTAAATGTTCCTTCAGCTGGATTTTACAGCACCATATTTTCATCATTTACTTGAGGATAATGAAAATAGACTAGATAATGTTCCTTTCCACAAATTCTTTAATTCAACTGAGGTAAAGGCAGACCCATTATAAGAAATATAAAAATCTTTGCAGTAGCTGGAAGAACCACATTAAGACAACTGAATTACCAAAATAATGTTCAAATATTTTTAAGTGTATTTAAAATTAATTGGTGGAAATAAATCTTTGGCATCCTAAGTAAATCGGTTTTATGTACGAGACTGTGAGAACATTGTCCTTGATCACTTGATTAAGCTTGAGTCATCTTATTTTCCAGATGTAACATTGTGCTGCAAGTCAATCAATACAGTAATTTAAGTCCTTTCAACTATAATGGAAAAGTATGAAAAATTAGCTAAGATTGGAGAAGGGTCCTATGGGGTTGTATTCAAATGCAGAAATAAAACCTCTGGACAAGTGGTAGCTATTAAAAAATTTGTGGAATCTGAAGATGAACCAGTTGTTAAGAAAATAGCACTAAGAGAAATACGTATGTTGAAGGTAGGTTCACTTTCTCTGTATATCTATAACATCATGGTATTGGATGAAATATGTATGCCAACATTACAATTTGAATGAATTTTAAAGTGATTTTTTTTTCTCATTGGACTTAATTTCTTGGTATCAGCAACTATGGAAAATAAATTATTACTTTGGACTTTTGGCAGTTCTGATATTGAAGTACTTCCATTCTGGTTGGTAAATATCCACTGTCCTAAGTCCTTTGGCCCAGTGTTTACCCACCCCCTCCCCTGCCTTGGCCTTGCTCTGCCTTACACCCCTCCCAAATCCTTCTCCCCACAAACCAGCAACTAAAAGAACATCTCCTGGCACAGGAGCCCACAGGACTGGACCCATGCCCCTGTAGGCATCGATATGGGGTAGTCCTTCCTGCTCTCCACTGGTTCTTAGGCATATTGAGTATTGCCCCAGCTATGTATACACATTTTCCACAAAGATTTTGTTAGCTTTTTTTTTTTAAATAAACTCTATGCCCAACGTGGGGCTTGAACTCAGGACCCAGAGATCAAATCACATGCTCTACAGACTGAGCCAGCCAGACGTCCCTAAAGTTGTTTTTACTCTGAAAGGATTTGACATGTAAGATTCATAAGTCTTCAATGTAAGTGTTTTCCTATCCTAGAACTCTTCTGGTTTTAGAACCATAAAAGAACTTAGGGATGCTTCCCATCCAGCATCCTTATCTTATCAGAGAGGAAACTGAGGCACAGAACAGCACTTCTCAAACATTAATGTGCAGAATTAATGTGGGAATTCCCCAGGTGACTTTGCTAAAACACAAAATTCTGAGTCAAAGGTCGGTGGTCAGTCTGAGATGCAGCATTTCCAGTAAACTCCCCAATGGTACAGACGGTGCTTGGTAGACCACACTTTGAGTAATAAAAGTGTGATTTCCTCAAGAACACACAGCTGACGTTTACTTTTTTTTTTTTTTTTTTTTGACGTTTACTTTTGACACGGGTCATCTTTTTTTAGGAAAACCCCAGAAATCAGTTTTAGAGGAATATAATAATTATCATATTATCTGTCCTTTCAGGTGTTATTTACAGCAGGTTTCCTCAAACTATTAATAGTTTAAAATATAAGTTAATACGCACGGAGTTTTCAAGATTACATCCATCGTAAAAACCGGTTCACTGTTACCTCACAGCCGGCAGAAGGCGCTGGTTAGCCAGCCAGCTTTGTCACAGAGCTAAGCTTACAGGGTGTGTCGGAAAGGACTGCGAGTTGTTGTCTAATAAAAGTAATGCTTTTTATCCACCACCTCCCTCCTCCTCATGTCTGCAAGGAAGGTTAACGCTCAGGTAGTACCTCCTGGGTCACAATGCCCACATTTTAAGAATGGACTTTCAGGTAAGAAGTAGCCAGATCCCACCTCAGCTTGGTGTCTGGGGATGGTTCTCATAATGTACTTCTTGCCAGCTTCGATATGTTGCCCTCCGCGCACCAGGAGCAGATTCCTTCCATGATAAACTTACCTTACCTTCCGCACATCCTCCTGTTACTTAAATGTGATTTGATTTTTGTCCTCCTTATTGCCTATGTTACTTATACAAGTCACTGTTTTTCTGAGCTAAGTTAATTTCCTTTGCAAAGGGGATATAAATTGCTTATCTACCCAAAGACAGATTCAACCAGGTTAGCTTCTATGAATCCCTTACTCTCCTGGTAAAGCCACTGTTTCCCTTCCATTGCATGGCTTTCAGTGTCGCACAAAGCTGGCTTACCTGTGTGGCCTGTTTCCTCCACTCTGCCTCTCTGCTCTTTCAGGCAATGGCAAATTGATTTTGTGCTTTAGACATATTTAGACGTATTTTTAATATGTAATAGAGTCCTTTTTCCCAAACTGTTGAGCACATAGTTGCAGGGTGATTTTTTTTTCCCCCCTGAAACCATGCTTACAGATACTGAAGTAGAGGATGCTATCGCTATTGGGCCTACAAAATATTTCTGCAGCTCCTGCTATATACAAAATCCTGTGTTCCCTCTATATAGGTATCTTTCTGAGTAAGTGGCATAGGGTTTGAAAAGTGATGTATCTAATATACTGGGAAAACAGGGAAGATGAGTTATATGTAAGTGGGAGTGATCAGATATCCTGGTTTATAGCTTTTGTCCCGGAGTCCAGTCTGGTTAGCACCCTCTTTCAAAAGCATCCTGGTTTGCATGCTTAATTATATGGTCACCCTGGTTATAGGCAGGGAAACCGTATCTGCCTGTTTTCCTGGGACAGTCTTGTCTTATACTCCTTACCCTGATAGGATGATAAATTATATAGTTACTCTATGATGGGTTATCTTAATTAGAATTTTTCCTCTGGTTTACAACATTAAACAGAGGCTGCCTTGTGAAATGCTCCAGCTTGAGATAGAATTTAACACATAAAACATCTAAGCATAAGAGAAAACAATAGAATCAAAGAACAGAGCTGAAAACATGATAAATTAAAAACACACTGTGGGGACTCCTACAATAGGAAGTTTAATCAGATTTGAAATTTGGGCTCTAGTATTTCTGAGAGCCAACACTAAAATTCAGACTGCGTTTAAATCTAGCTGACATTGGGGCGCCTGGGTGGCTTAGTTGTTAAGTGTCTGCCTTCGGCTCAGGTCATGATCCCAGGGTCCTGGGATCAAGTCCCGCATCGGGCTCCCTGCTCCATGGGAAGCCTGCTTCTCCCTCTCTCACTTCCCCTGCTTGTGTTCCCTCTCTCACTGTGTCTTTCTCTGTCAAATAAATAAATAAAATCTTTTAAAAATAAATAATCTAGCTGACATTTATATTAAATCCATGGCAATATGCAAGCTAAATGGGGATTGATAATTTTTATAACCTTTTACTCAATAATTCCATCTCCTCTGTCTTTTATCCAGGTTCCTTTATGACTTGGATATTTAGAATTTTCACAAAATCCATAAAGTATTTATGGTATCAGTGTCCAATATTTTATGTTGTGTACTTTATTTGCTATCTCTGGAGAGATTCAGGCAGTTTAATTACCATCTGTTACAGGTACTTTAGAAGAAGAAGAAAAATGTCTTCTTTTTTTCTTCAACCTTAAAGTAGTTTCTCTTGTGAGTAACCTTAATAAAATTATCCACAAGAGATGCACAGAGAATAATAAACAAGGCCTTCTGTTTAAATTGTGAGGGATCTGGGGAGAAACTATCAGGAGAAACAAATAACCGAACTTTGATTTCAATTCCTTTGCAGCAATTAAAACACCCAAACCTTGTGAACCTCATTGAGGTATTCAGGAGAAAAAGGAAAATGCATTTAGTTTTTGAATACTGTGATCACACACTTTTAAACGAGCTGGAAAGAAACCCCAAAGGGTAAGTAATCTGGAAACTGAGGCTCTGTATGGCCATTCAGTTTCATTATATGTGGGATTAACTGTGGCAAATTTCAGATCTGAAACACACTCCTCTTTCTGCCAAGATGCATCTGCTGGCTACCCTTCTCGCATCTTAGTTAGGATGTGCTCAGAGATCAGGATGTGCTCAGAGAAATAAATATTAACCTAGAGTAAAAATATTTAGGAAGACGAATCAACAGCAAATATAAATCACAGTGCATTTCGAGGCTAACTTATGTACAGGCAAACCTTTGAGATATTGCAGATTTAGTTCCAGATCACTGCAATAAAGCAAATATTGCAATAAAGTGAGTCCAATGAATTTTTTGGTTTCCTAGTGCATGTAAAAGGTATGTTTACACTATATTGTAGTCTATTAAGTGTACGACAGCATTATGTCTAAAAAACAATTGTACATACCTTAATTTTAAAATATCATATTGCTCTAAAAATGCTATCACCTGAACTTTCAGCAAGTTGTAATCGCTGATTGCAGATCAGCATAAAATATAATAATAATGAAAAAGTTTGAAATATGAGAATTACCAAACACAGAAACTCAGGTGAGTAAATGCTATTGGAAAAATGGCGCGAGTAGACTTGCTCCACATGGGGTTTCCACAAACTTCCAGTTTGTAAAAAACACAATGTCTGTGAAATCTAAAGCAAAGCACAGTAAAGCAGAGGGCAATAAAATAAGGTATGCCCTCTGAATTCAAGGAATGAACCATGGTTCAATATTAGAATTCATAAAATTCACTAACAGGTTAAAGGAGAAAAAAAAATACATGTGGTTGATAAAATTTGGAAAGGCAGTTGATAAATTCAACGTCCTTTCCTGATTATTAAAAAAAAACAAAACACCTTAGCAAACTAGGATTAAGATACCTCTGTAGCACGCACGCGCCACACACACACACACACACACCCACTCACCCACACACACACACACACACACACACCCACTCACCCACCCACTCCTCTTCAAATCAACAGCTAACTTTATACTCCATGCTAGAGGAACCACTGTTAAAATGAGAAACAAGGAAGTCAGTTGTCACCACTACAATGTAACATTGTTCTGAGAGCTCTAGCCAATGTAAACAAATAGAATATATAACTTTGGAAGCAAGATTAAATCATCTTTATCTGGATGATAGTATTCTACAAAATCTAAGAGAATTGCCTAAAGAGTCATTATAACCAGTGGAATTCAGTATAATGACTACAGCCCTCCAAACTCCACACACAAAAATTAACAGCTCTTGTATCAGTCAGCACTCCAGAAAATCTAGTGGAGAGGATCTCATTCAAATACCAACAACAAAGAAGTTTAGAAATAAAGATAAAAAGAATTGTTCAGACGCTACAACTTACAAACCTTAACTGAGGTACATAAATGATTTTTTTTTAAATGAACATATATTTCTGAGTGGAAATATTCATTATTATAAAGATACTGCTTCAATTTATTTATTTATTGCTCAAAAATCTAATCAGAATGCCAATGGGATTTTTTTAACTTGAAAATCAAGTTATCTAAATCAATAAATTTTTTTAAAAGAAAAGGGACTTTTTAACTGCCAAATATTAAATCAATTAGTTTTAGAGATTCCCTTTGACAAAAAGTACCATAAACAAAACTAAAAAAGAAGTGGTAAGTTAGGTAATTTGTTTGCCAGATGAAGAATTAATATCATTTCATTTGTAGATTTTGCAAATCAAATGTTTTGAAAGATTAACACCCAGTTAGAAAATATATTCATTTGGGGCGCCTGGGTGGCTC